TTATTTAAGAAGTGAGGCACACATCATACATCTTGCTCTCTATCCAGGCCTCTGCAAAGACCAGCTCGTGATAAAATCAAAAATTCCATTGGTTAGGATTGGATTGCATAAGAAGAAAGCAATGGAAACACGAATTCTTGCATGGATATGCATAGAGATCATGCCAAATGAGCACACTAATAATCCCTGAAGTAAAAATTTCAACTTCGTTGTTAACACCAGACAGAGAAGAGAAGAACAGTTATAGCCTATATCTACAGTCAGTAACTTAATTACAACACATGGAGAAAGTCATGCTTTCAACCTCCTCGATTAACAATAGTTAGGTATCACAATATAACAAGCATGTAACAAGCCTACGACGTGACTTTAGGAAAATATATTCCCACAGGCAGATCCGGGATTTAAACTTGATGAGTTTGACCTCTAAGGTTCATAGTACGTAACTCGTTGTACTTCATCTGCCCCTAGCTATTCCCGTTATATATTTAACAACCACAAAAGACCGAAACTTGACAACTATGGTGTATACAACACCATATCCAATATACATGTGCAATAAAAAAGGTAAGAAAAAACACCTTTTTCTATATACAACCAAAGGGTCAAGTTACCTTTCTCAGAAAAAAAAATATGTGACCAAAGAGAGACTTTTCTAACTGAAAAATTGAATCCTTGCCAATAACTTTGCCTAGTCACAAACAAGTTAGGGCCAGCAATATGAATCTCACTCCATTTAAGCTCATTTCATATCACCATCTAACTAAAAAAATAATGCTGGCCAAAATAAACAAATATCTAGATTGAATCTGCATAACACAACTTCACAAATTCTGCAAATTAATAGCAAATAAACTCAACATGAACTAGAAAAGTCTGGCATTAAAGATCATGTCGCAACAAACATAACTTCATAACTTCCACAATTGAAAAGCACAAAAGTCAAACTCTAAGACATGGAACATGATAGCCTTCAGAGGTAAATCTAGGTTTTCTATTACATGGATGACCACTAAAAAAGAAGAAAAAGCATATTAAGTGAGAATTGATCCCTAATCCTCTAGGTAAATAAAAACAAACATTCAACCAAATGCACCATTCAGCCTTCTGGTAGCATGGATGCCAATAGATAATATGATACCACTATTAAAGAATATAAACATAAAACACCTAACTTCACAAAGAGACCACGAAATCCCCAAATTTTACCAAAAAAATTCGACCCTGATAGCAAGGGTTCGGATGAACCTAGTGCTTATGCTCTGCATCCGCCCATAGCAATACGATTACATATTTAATAAACACAAAATTCAATCTAGATATACAACCAAAGGCGAGGAACTTTTCTTAACTTAAAAATTTAATGCTCCCTAAAGTAGAAGAAAATCAAGGTTCAATTCAACCTGCCTTACATATCAAAACATACAAATTAACAACAACTAAACTCAACAATAAACTATCAAAATCTAGCATCGAAGATCATGTCATAATAACCATAACACCATAAATTCCACAATTAATAAACACAAAATTCAATCTAGGATATACAACCAAATGAAAAAACTTTTCTAACAAAAAAATTTAATGCTGCCCAAATTAGAAGAAATTTAAGTTTTCAACCTATCTACATATCAAAACTTAATAAATTCTACAAATTTACAGCAAATAAACTAGCAAAATTCAGTATCATAGATCGTGCCATAAATTCCACAATTATATAAAAACACAAAAATCAAACTCCAAAACACCGAACACGATACCGAAACATTAATCATCCATAATCAACACACTAAAATAGGTCACCGAAAAGGAAAAAAAAAAAACCCTAATTTCCACAAATATATCAATTATTCAAAATAACAAAAATACAACCGCATAAACACAAACAACCGGAAAATATAATAATTAGAAATTAATTCTAAAAAATTCTAACCTTGAACACAAAAGGGAACAGATTGATCAAGGTTCGTTCGATCTCGATCCAGAAATTTAACAATCAGACATCAATTAACACATCGAAAATTAATTTGATTGATTAAACACAAAGAAAAATGAAAACTAATTGTAGATCGAGATTTGGGTTGAAGAGAAAAAGGGGGAAAAGTTTCTATGTTTATCCACTCGGTTCTTCTGCAAAGGACATTTTTCTACTCCAAATAGGGAATGAAAGAGATAATCTTTGGCATTAGGGGTATATTTTATGGAAATAAAATAAAATAATATTAAATAGAATTGAAAATTGACAAAATTGATGTAAGCTTCAATTTGATTTTTTTAGGGATTTGATAAATTTTATAAAAATAATTAATTATAAAATAATCTAGTTCATGAAATATTTCGCGTTCATGTGAGGTCACGACGGAGGTTGCACCCCCATGAATTCGACTAAAGCAGTTCATTTTGGCGTTAAATCAATGGTTCAGTCTACTCTGATACAAGGATAGATTAGATACGAATACATGAAGAATATGCTTTTTGGTAAAATCTTGCTTTAATTTGACCTAATTGGCAAGTGATCCCGGTACACAAGTGAGTGTAGTTTTATTTGGTTCATCTCCGTCAAATATCTTCATTTTCGCGATCATGTAATGAAGACAGTACTCGAAGAATTTCTTCGGAGAATGCTACTTTAACTATAACATCAGGGAGAAGTAGCTACGGTTATGGTTATTAATTAATGATAAAACAATTTGGTACATGAAAAACTTCGCATTCAGGTGAGTTTACGGTGAGGGTTGCACCTCAAAGAATTTCACTAAATAGTTCATTTTGACGTCAAATCAGTGGCTGAGTCTGCTTGATACAAGGATAGATTGGATACGAACACATGAGGAATATGTTTTTTTTTTTTGTAAAATCCCGCTTAAGTTTGATTTAATTGACGAGTGATCCAGTATAACAAGCAAGTGTAATTTTATTTGCTTCTTTTCGACCAAATATCGCCATTCTGTAATGACGACAATAGTCGAAGAATTTCTTCGGAGAATGCTACTTCAACTACAACAACAGGGGAGAAACAATTGTGATTTTGATTATTAATTAATTATAAAACAATTTGGTGCATGAAATATTTCGCGTTCAGGTGAGGTCATGGTGAGGGTTGCACCTCAATGAATTTAACTAAGTAGTTTTTTCTGACGTCAAATTAGTGGCTCGATCTGCTCTGATACAAGGATGGATTGGATACGGACATATAAAGAATATGTTTCTTTTTATAAAATCTTACTTCAGTTTAACCTAATCATCCCGATATGACAAATGAGTGTAGTTTTATTTGCTTCTTGTCCATCAAATATCTGCATCCCCCGATTGTATAATGAAAACAGTAGTCAAATAATTTTCTTCGGAGAATGCTACTTCAACAACACAAGGGGAAAGTAGTCATGCTTATCAGTATTTTATCCATTATTTTTTAAATGGGAGATACTAGTTTAGGAGTATACCTTCTATCCAATTGAATTTGTTGCTTCTGAATTCGTCTAAAAAGTACTTTGTAGGTTCAAAAACTTGGCAAAAGATTTAATCTAACAGAATTCCCTTCAAGTACAATTATAGAATCGGGAAAGAAATAGCATTGTATATCATGATTTTGTCTGTTATTTTTTAAATGGGAAAATTAGGTGAGGGATGAACGTCCTATTCGATTCAATATGTTTTTTTTGAATCCGCTTTAAAAAATAAATACTTTGTAGGTTTAAAAACTTCACAAAAAATGTGATACTATATAAAGATTCGTATTGGGTTTAGCTAATATGCGGCTACAAACAATTAATATGATTAACTCATTCGATGGATTATCAATTTGTGGCTTTTCTTAGTAGTGGAATGCCCCCTAACAATATATTTTTATATTCCATGACTTTTTGACAAATTACTTATAGGCCTGTTGATCTAAATAAAGAAATTAATCGAGTTTTTATCATATAAAATGCGTTAAATGAATATTTTTTTTTAATAAATGGGTCTCTTATTGTTGAATTGTCATTAATGAAGATAATATTATCAAGTCAACGCCCAAAGTGAATAAATTATAAAAAAATACTATATTTTAGACAAAGACATTGCTAATTACCGACAAGTGTTTGATCTGAAAAAATTGCGATCAAATTTAAACATGATTTATGAGTTTACTATATCAATCAAGACAGCTATGTATATATATAGTTATTATCATACAAATAATTGTGACCAATTCAATGTCAAGTTTTCCTTCCAAATACCAAATTATACTACCTCATAAAACTCATTTTAATTGCAACATTGGGTAAATAATGTTATATTTTACACCTAACAATTAATCATATGATTAACTAATTCAGATTTATATGTAAACATATGTCATGTGTTTATTGATTTTGATATAAATATTGAGTGCAAGTGATTCTTATCCAATCGCTTTTGTTTGAATATTAAGTTTTTTTTTAATTTTTTTATGTCAAAGGGAAAAAGATACGAGTAGTAATTTTTTTTTTTTTAAAAAAAGATAAAAACTCCTGCCCTCTTTAATGGGACAATTCTTATTTTATCTTTAACCCACATGGAGTCATTTAATGTAATGTCGGTGGCATTCCTTAGTCCTTACATGTTGCAAATAATTGATATAATTGTCCTCAAGAAATAAAGTAACAACAAAAATTGTCTCCGTATGATTTATAGATCATGAGTTTAAATAGAGAAAGCAATAACTGATATTTGTATTAGAATAGATTGTCTATGTCACTACTCACATCCTTTGGGCTACGACCCTTCCTCAAATCCTGCGTGAACACGAAATACTTTGTGCCTTGGACATTGTACTCTTGAAGATTATAACTTTTTTTTTATGACAAAGGAAACCGACAATCACTACCCTTTGGGTGTGCACAGGGTAAAACCCCGCTCCTATGCAATAGCTCGCAAATAACATATGAGAAGTAACTCGCACTAGGCAAGCTCGGTATGACGAGCTCAAACTCTCAAAGATTACAACTAAGACAAAATAAATGAATGTTGAGTGATAATTCAGGTATGAAAAGGAAATATCTAATTATTGGGTGTGAAACTCGCGAAAAACTCATAGTTTAAATGTGTTTTTGACTATTAACTCGAAAGAACTACTCAACACATGCCAAGACGTTCTTCCTGGAAAACATCAGCACGTAGCCGATTCTTCACACTGGCAATTTGTAAAGGCACATTTATTGCATGAAATTTGAAGCTGTTTCCTTTAGGCTTTTCCTTTTTGACACATTATTAGTATAATGAACATCTTGAAAGAAGCATTTCTGTGAGTTCTGAATAAAAGGATTAGAAGTACCAAAAGTGCAGAAACTCTAACATCTACTGCCCTCGCAGAACGGTTAGCAGTCAAAACTCACGTTGCATCAACCCTCTCGTATATTCAACATAATAACCTCCCCCGCTGCAACAAAAAGATCTGAGTTTCAGAAACATAGAAGAAAAGGCATTAACCTTTTAACTTTCAATAGTGGCGAGAAAGGTAATAGTTTATACTTGACATAGTGTCCCCAACACCCAGTTTAAGACCCCACCCCCCACCCCCCAAAGAAAAACATAACAACAACAACAGAGGTGGATTCAGAAATTTATGCTCCACGTCAAAAGAATTGGGAGGAAAGCAAAAGCAAGAAGCCAACGGACAATATGACTTGACAGTTGATTTTCCTGATTTCATCTTTCAACAATGCTTAACCCTATCATGTACCCCTCTCCCCTAAGCATGACAATGAAAAAGACAGGAAAACGAGAAACCTACCAGATGCCATAACTAACCCGCCTTAGAATAATGAGGTGGTTGATAGGCTATCTGACAAATGATGAGCAACAGAGTTCATATTTGTAATGTAAAAAATCTTACATGATTACTTGTTTGTTTTAGGTTCTCCAACAATTCTGCAATTTCGAGTTGTTTCACCACTGCAGTATGCAACACCTGTTGAAAAATATAAAACACGACAATTGAATAATCCAAGTTCAAAGTTATATAACTGTCAATAATAAGGCATACCCTTTTTGTCTTGTCGAGGTCCACCTCCACTGATTTGATCCTTTCCATTGATTGCTGGATCATTTGGTCCTTCTCTGCTGGGATCTCAGCAGGTTTTCTCTTTATTTCTTCAAACAACATTTCCAGTTTATGAAGACGCTCCATGCACGGGAGGGCCTCATCTGATTTATGAACAACTTCACCATAAGCAGAAGAACTGCTTTCTTGTCTTTCTTCTAATGCACTAGTACGGGAAGCATTTGCCTGTTTCCTCCAATACTCAAAGAACACACCACGAATCAGTCCAGAGAGTTTGAGTATGAAAGGAACCAGTTTCCTTTCCAAGCACTGCATACATCTGCTCAAAACCTTTTTCTGGATCGTTTCAAACCAATGAATCACCAATGTACCTAAAGAGCGCATAAAAAATGGGACATGAATCCCCATCAGGCTGATGTTCCAGTAGCACAATCTTTTAATTGGAAGTTAATAACCTCATAAATCAACTGATGTACTTGCTTGGATGTCTACGGATTTGGCAATGCACATCAGTCTAGTGGACACACAGAAATGAATGAATAGAAGAAAGAGATGGATAGAGAATTGGCTTATGAAAATGAATATTTTAGCAACTTTTCATGGAAATCTGGCTAAAATCAGTATCTAGTCAAAATATTACTTTTGATAACCAATTTAGTCAAAATATAATCAACTTGTTAGGTGACAGATTCGATAAAGTTTCTCAGTTCAAAAAGGTTAGGTGATAAATTTAATGAAATTTAAGGTCCTCTAGTGTTTTAACTCCGAAACTTTTAAAAGTTGTGCCCTTCAATGGAGAAAAAGAAAAGTAAGATGAATTTTGCATGATGAGGAGATATCATCTAAAGAAAAGTATGTCACTAGTATGACACCAAAAAGGAAGAAAAAGAGATGAAATTCTGATTTTTTTAATTTCCGAATGCTGAAAATAATTTATTTTGACAAGTCTTAATGATGAAAATGATTACCCCTAGTTAACACTGTTACATAGAAGGGAATCATGTGACATTTATTTTGGACATGATTTTATTAAGACTCCATTTCACTTCAAACATTTGAAATCAATAAATTTGCACATTTAATTTGCAAGCATAAAATTAGTACTAATGTAACCGTCATTGTTAACATCTAAGCATTGTATTACTATTTTAAATGAATTCAACTCTCCCAATTTTGATGTCACTTCAAATTCTTTTAGTTATAATTGTATGGCTAAAAATAAGCGATTTTGAGATCTCTCTCCGCGATCAAGTTTACATTAGATATAATTGTCAAGTAACGAGTTTCAAATACATGAGAAATTTCGGACAATCCAAATGGAGCTCAAATCATAATTGAAGTTACAGTTGAGCAAGTCTTCATCATAAATAATATCACATAATTAGAAACAAGTTGTCAGGTCCAGCTGGCAACCATATCAGAATATATTCTACTGGTAGTATAGATAAACAATGAAGACAAATACCTTCAGAAGTTGGTCGTGCATTGGTGGACAAATTTGTCAGATTGCATTCTGGAGGCTCTGGGCAACATAGGGAGACATGCTTATTAACATCAACTAGTTCACCTGTGCTGAATTGCTCATCACAACTACAGTAGGGGGTAGAATTCGATTCCCTTGCCTGCACGAGCAAGATTTAAGGTAAAATAATTGTATCGCATATATAAAGGAACGCATTTGCACACACTATAAATACATGATAACTATTTTCCCTTCCATTATTGAGGCCCTTTTTTTTTTCTCGCTCTCCCTTTGGTTTTGGAGCAATGGATAAATTACTAATCTGATGATTATATTTGAAGGTATACACATCATGGTGATTATTGCACATTACAAACACCTGATATATTTGATAAGAAATGACATTTTAAACTAAACTATGGTTATATAATACTGTAACACTCACTTCCTCATCAAGTAGGGACAGCTGTGGAATTGAACTGCTACTTCGTCTAATTGGAGAACATGGGTCATGAACATCTGATACTGATTCAGCTGTTGATGTCTCATTAATTCTTCCCTGACCGCAAAATATGTCAAATAGGGGGAGCCGGGAGGTATAATAAACGCAAGGAAACAACACTAAGAATGTCAAAGTAAAAATTCACCTTTAGTGGGCGTATCTGTTTAGAGGAATCAATTCTCCTTAGATCTCTGGATATTCCAGATATTGGCTTCACAGTTTTTGCCTCTAAATCATGTACAAGCTAAAAGTGGAGTAGAAAACTATTGGTCACCTCACATGAAGAAATAATTCCTTAAACTTAAACGAGAAGAGCCATAAAAAGAAGAAAATAGTGAAAACACCAACAAACCCACCTTCATTATTTCAGGATCACTCCATGGACCCTTGTTGGACCTGAGGCAGCGACACTCAACAGAACAGGTACAAGAGCCACCCAGAAAGTCAGGTAACTGACTGGACAGAAAATATCAAATACAGAAATTAACATTTTTTTTCAAACAGGTAGGTTTATATGAACAATAGAGAGAGAAAAACCTAGGGTCAATCGCTTCAAGCAGTTTACCCAAAGATTTAGGTTCCAGAACCTGCAAAGTGCAGATGAGAACGCAGATATTCAGTCAGTTGAAGTTGGACCAAATGAGTAGAAGAAAAGAAGCCCCTGCTTTCCTCCACCTGTATTTTGCCAATAGTCTTTGCATCCAGAAATTTCTGTGCTGCAGGCCAAAGTATCTTTTGGAAGCCAGGGCCAGCATTGACAATGAACATCTGTTGTAATGTCTATATAGAGATGCCAGAAATCATTAACAACAGAATCTGAATAACCACTTGAAATCTAACTTAACTATTCATTCATGATGACAGCTAATACCTCAGGAAAATAGTTGTTATCAACTTTTGCCATGGCTGCCAAAAGAGTAGCAGCTGTCCTGGTGAAGTTTTTAACTCCCTGCAATCAATGGCATACTTCTTAATAGGTGAAATTGAACAATAAGCAGTAAGCTGACAGCAACACTTCTATAAGACTTATTTAAAAATAAGGAGCAACACTATTAAAAGACCTTATAGAGGGGTAAACATACTTTGTATGGCAAAGTTTAATGGGAATACATGTTATCCACATATCATAATCCATAAATCACTTTGGTAAAGGCAAATCCAAACTATGTAGAGACAGAAATTGAAGGACCCAACAGCTCCACCTAATTCTTAGAAATACCGTGGGAATGCTAAACTATTTGCGGTCCCACTTAAGTGTTTAATGCATGTAGATATGACATTAAAGCAAAAGTACTTAATTGTCGCAATAAAAGCTGTATAGCTACATAAAGTTTTAGATTGTGTAAAAAATGCAACAGAGATTTCAAGACAGTCATCAATTTTGGTAAATTATCCATTCAGTGAAGCAACATACAAGGCCTTGCACATCCAAAATTGTGGTTGTTGAGTAGATCCTTTTCTTTGCTGCAATAGAACATGCAGGGAATTTCTCATGTAGGGCCCTTTCAAACTCTTGGACATGATATTTCATGTAGCGATCAATTGTGGTGATTCGCATTAATTTGTTCGGGTGAGCTTGTCCAAGCCTTTCAATATACACAGGCCTTCCGTCCCTGTCAACTCCATGATATCCTTGGGGGTAATACTGCAGGACTTCTTCCAGCTCTTCAAAGTGAAAATCCTGAGCAGTCACAAGGTCCAATAAGCAAATAAAGTTGAAGCAAAAATGCTAAAATTAGAGTTATGGTAATCACAAGACAAATTTACGCCTGTAGTATGCAACTACCTCCAATATTGTGTCTGTTCCATACTCCTTCCTCCAGTTAAGCATTTCTTGCCACATCTGAATAGTTTTCTCAATGTTGAAATCTCTTGCCTTTAAGAATCTATAAATAATAGAATACTAACATAAGATTGTAATACTTGCTATCGGTGCACAAGAATCACTAAATCCAATACAAGGACACAACTTGCAAGGTGCAGACACAGACAGCTCACTAGACAGTGAGTAAGGTCCAAAACAAAATAGCCATGACAAATGGAGGACTTGAAGAGACATTTTCTGTCAAATTCTATTGCTTTTAGTGCAAGTTATCACTGAAAATTGCCAAAACTCGCGCAACCGAGAATACTGTCAACCAAAGAATTATACAACTCAAAAGGCAACTCACCTCAACAAGGTATGGTAGTCATCATGTATGGGTGGCAACAAATTCCTGTCAAGAAGTTGTTGATGCAATTCATAGACAACATTTTCTTCCTTTTCATCATGGACATCCTCTATCAAAACCGAAGGAAACCTGTAATCAACTTTCTTTTTTCCTCTTTTTTTGAGGGAGCGAGTGAACTTGTTGGAAGCATTGATTGCCTTTTTCCTGAAAGCACCAATTCTGAATCTCCGTGTTTCATCCTCAGAATTCTCAAAGTCTGATTTTCTTTCTCTACGGTCATCATAATAAGCATCTGATCCCCCTTCTAGAACACAGGATACTATTCAGAGCATTCGTATTTGAGCATCATAGAGCAAACACTAATTAAATTATCCCAACAAAATCTTCAGTTCAACGACCAAATGAGGTAACAAACCTGACATCTACGTGACAAGGAGGAAAGAATGACGAAGTAAGTTGTGCCGCTAGAGTTCAATGCAATTATGGCTTTTCCGTCTCAAAACCATCCAAGCACAGGTTGCACTTACATAACTAAAAGAAGACAAGTAAGCCACCATAATCTCAGACTTTCTATAAAAAGAAGACAAATAGTTTTTGCGCAAAAGAAAAGACAAGCATTGTTTCTTGAATATCGCAATCATATTCCAAATGAATTTGAAAATTATTTAACTCTGCAAAGAGTACTCTAGCTCACCAGGAAAAAAAACATCAAGCTCCATTAATACTATTCATGTGTGCAGTCCAGTCAAACCATACATCAAACTACCACGGAATGGAAATAAAGATCATTCCCTGCTGATAAACACAAAAGAACAAGTCCTATACTCTAGTTATTGTATTGAACTCCACCGAAACACCTCAAACTGATAAATAGTTCCAGTAAAATGTTAAAGAAATAGCAGGACAGACAGGCAGAGCTCGACATGTATACTTAAACAACAACAACTACGCCACAATCCTGAACTAGTTTGGATCAACTATATCCACTTGGTTCCAATTCAAGCCAACTATAAATTTAATATCAACATCATTTTTTTTCCAACAAAAGAATATATATGCATTAGGTTTTTGAGAATCCTCTACCTTGATCACACCCAAAATCAACCAAGTATTCAATTACCGTAAACTGAAGCTCATATCTCACATTACACCAAACAGCAACGACCATGGGCGGAGCTTGGTAGGGGCGAGGGGGTTGGGCAAAAAATTACATGGTATATACAAAGTTAAAATTATTTTTTATGTATAGCTACATAGTAGATGTTGAATCCCCTCGGCTTCTTCACATGTTTTCTTCTTCTATATTGAAACTCCTTTGTGAAAATCCTAGCTCCACCACTAGCAGCAGCAACAACAACAAACCCAGTGTAATCTCACATGTGAGGTTTGCACCTTACCTGAGGCTGTTTCCAATATACCTTCGGCTCAAACAACGATAAAAAAGAGGTAAAATGCTATGACAGGCAAAACACAACATATATAATCAAAACAACAACTACTCAGCCGCAATACTGAACTAGTTTGGATCAACAATATTCACATTGCTACATTATCAACATTTTTCAAAAAATAAATAATGAATTATAAGAATCCACAAACTTGATCACACGTAAAATCAAACAATTATTCAATTTCAATTTCAATTCTCCGTAAACTGAAACTCAGATCTCACATTCACCAAATAACAAATACTACAAATGAAAAAAAAAACGTTACGATAACATTCACCGGAATGAAATGCCAATGGAATCTCTCCGGAAACCTACCAACGACACGGCGATCAAAATCGGCAATTGACAGAGCTATGAGCTATAATTTCACTGAACTTCTGATTTCAATAATCAATTTCGAGAAAAAATCTCAGATCATCGTAGCGATTTATGAACATTTACAAGCTTTTTCTCTCTCTTTCAGCAGATTTTTTGAAGATTGCAGCGCCAACTCTTTCACTTTCTGAGTTTTGCTTGTTTTGTCTGCTGTTTTTTTATTACTCGCAGACAAATATTATTAGATATCCTCAAATATTTGTCTACTGTAAATTATTTGAGGATATCTAATAATATTTGTCTAACTTTATAAAATTAATGATTAATTTCATATTTAGTAGGCATTTGGTCATGCGATATTATGAGATGGAATCAGCGTTTGAACGTGTAATTTTACGATGATTTCATTTCATGATTCCATATCATGAGATATGATTCCATATTCTCCAAAAATCATGATATGAAATTATTTGGTAATTTCATATCATGATTTGAGATATTTTAATACAAAAATTGATTCACGAGTTTATATTTTGTTAAAACAACTCCACATTTATATTTACTAACCATTTATTTCATATGTAAATAAAATTTATAATCACATCATTACTTTTTAAAATTTATTATTCTCACCGACATAAAATTTATTATTCTCACCAACATATAGTCACTTTAACTCACACCAACCGATTATTGAGTAATAAATTTGTTCTATTCATTTAGTCCAACACTTAATTTATTGTTTTATGGCCTTAATAAGTGCACATTCATACTTTATGTGTAAGTTATTAGTATTTAGCTACATATTTCATATCAACTTTGTTTAAAGAGATAATATTTATTTTATGACTTTACATTGTCTTGGAAGCACTATTTGTATTACTCTTACAAACATTATTTTTATGAAGTGCATTCTATAATGCTTCCAATTTATTTTATGTTCACTAAACTAATATTGATGTATTTTTTTATTTGGTATGATTGTGTTGGTGTGATTGATGGAACATATATAGAAGGGGGGTTCCTAAAGCGGTGCAACAAGCATATCGTAATCGCAAAGGAAAAACATCACAAAATGTCTTATGTACTTGTGATTTTGATATGCGATTTACCTTTGTTGATGCTGGTTGGGAAGATACTGCACATGATAGTAAAGTACTTGAGAATGCACTTGTTGAACCAACGTCACAATTTCCATTTCCGCCACATGGTAACTTTAAATTACTTCCTTAGAATAAACATTATTTATTTACACAAAGGTGTCTCATTTACGTCACATATGCTTTATTCTTTATAAAATGTTTGTTGGTAGATAAATATTATGTTGTTGATGCTGGTTTCCGAAACATAAAATAATTTTTAGCTTCATACAAAGGACTACACTATCATTTGCAAGATTACCGAGGAAGTGAAAGAGAGCCTCAAAATGCCAAATAACTGTTTAATTATAGGCATTCATCTCTGCGCAATGTGATTGAACGGACTTTTAGAGCTTGGAAAAATAGATTTAAAATACTGAAACAAGGCATGAATCATTATGATATTGATACACAAGTGAAAAGTGTCATAACTTGTGCAGTTACATAATTATTTGCGAGAATACCAAAGTACTGATGAAATATCTATGGTCTATGAGCATGAAAATATAGTTGCGGATGATATTAACCAACAAATGGCTCAAAGTAACAATGTTGATTCGTCTTCTCGGTCACATGATCGAGAAATGCAAGTTCAATTTGAGGAAATTGTTCGTACTATGTGGGAGGATTATATTAAAGATTAGTATACTATAATTTATGTCCATTTTTTTTAATTAAATTAAAGTTAGATGAAACAATTACTTAAGTGGTTTACAATTAGTTTTGTAATAATTTATTATGCGATTTTATAATTTTTTGTTTATTTGATAAGATTGAATAAACAATTGGGGCTATTTTAATAGTTTTACAACTTATGAATTTTTATGTTTATGAGAAAATATACAACACAAAAATTTCATATCGCATGTCCAAACAAAACTTCAATTTCATCTCATGATGCCATATCATGATTTCATATCGCATGGCCAAACGGGCCCTTAGTCCCTAACTTATCTTTATCATTAATAATAATTTTCCTATTGTATTTTTCAAGATATTATATTTGTTATATTCAAATGATGATTTAAATTGGGACTCTTGAAATTTTCAGTCAAACTTAAATTGTTTGACTTTCAAAATCGAAAATACTACATAAATTGGGACAGTGGAAATAATATGTTGACTTTCAGTCAAAATTTTTAAAGATTGAGGAAGGTCATTTGATAGCTGGATAAGATTTAAGTTATTTATGTATTATTTTTTGTATAACTTATACAATGTTTGGTTGGTAGATAGGAAATAAGTTATATATGTATACAATGTTTGATTAACATTTTAGAAATCTGCATTATAATACATGATTAAATGAAATTTACATAACGAATACAATGTGCAATAATACATAAATTCATTCATAACTAATTCGTATATCATTAATGCTTGAATAACTCTAACTACCAAACGATCCCTCAATGGGTAAAACCTTGATCATGGAAAATGAGGGAATAACTTTTGTAGCGAATAAGATGATGAAATCGAAATTGAGATGATTTGACTATGTGAAGATGAAGTAAACGGATGTGTTGGCAAGAAGATGTAAGAAGTTGGTTGTAGCAAAAATTGAAAGAGGTAGATGTAGGCTGGAAAAGAAAATTAAGAAAGATCATTAGATAGAATATGATGTAGCTTTAGTTAAAGTATAGCAAACGAATATTAGAGTAGATGATTAGTAGATAGCCCTTTAGATGAGAGAGGTTGGGTTTAGCCTAGCCTCATCCCTTACAATCTTATAAGCAGTACTCCCTCTATTTCAATTTGTTTGACTTAAAAATTCTTTTATCTATGATTCTTCTTTTTTAAGTAATTTTTTTAATTTCAAAATTTTCCAAACATTATATGTTTAAAGTCATCAGATCAAATGATTTTTCTGATATATCTGACATAATTTTAATTTAGGATCACATGATTCAAAAATTTTACAATATTATTTTCTTAAACTTCATATCAAGTCTAAATGGGCTAAAAAATTAAAACTATTTTGTAGTAATAGTTTACTTTTCTTCAAGGTAATATAGTATGTGTTACTTCATTTGTTTCATGTTTGATATTTTATTATCATAATTTATTTGAAACCTTGTTTTAAGTATTTTCTCTTTTGAACTCGGATTTATTAAATACAATCTCTCTGTTCCGCAAATTACCTAGTAGTAAAAAATAAGTTCCTCCGTAGGGAGCAGTACGTGTCGAACTGCAGCTTTGCATTTAATTAAAAAAATTGGACTGAAAATAAATAAATAAATGTTTGAGAGAATCAATTAATTTACAGTTACCCAAATACCGCAAGTTTTTTTTTTCTTCAAAATAATAAACTGAATATCATTTATAATAAATTTTCTATTCTGACCAGGTGCAGAGGTACCCAAATTAATATTGTCGTTGTACATTTATTCTGTTTTTCCCCTAGTAAGGAGTGCCCTTACTTATAATAATATTTAATTATTATTATATTGATAATTATTATTATATGTATTTGACTAAAAGGACATATCAAAATCAATAGTGTCGTTTTGTGAGGGTGGGAAATGGGAATCACGAGAGATCAATGCTTTATGTATGATGTGTCTAATTTTAGTGAATAAATTGTTTTATATTTATTATAAAATAACGTAG